AATTCTGAGAAAGAAGAATAAAGTAGGAGGGATCTCAATACCAGATTTCAAGCTATATTACAAAGCCACTGTTCTCAAAACAATCTGGTACTGGCACAAGAACAGACATATAGATCAATGGAATAGAATTGAGAACCCAGATATCAACCCAAATCACTATGCTCCATTAATATTTGACAAAGGAGGCACAAATATACAATGGAGTCAAGACAGTCTCTTCAATAAATGGTATTGGGAAAATTGGACAGAAACATGCAAAAGAATGAAACTAGATCACCAACTTACACCATACACAAAAATAAACTCAAAATGGATACAGGACTTAAACATAAGACAGGAAACCATAAAAATACTAGAAGCATCCACAGGCAGCAAAATCTCAGACATATGCCAAAAGAACTTTTTCACTGGGCAATGGAAGCTAAAGAGAAAATAAACAAATAGGACTACATCAAAATAAAAAGCTTTTTTACAGCAAAAGAAACCATCAACAAAACAACAGGAAAGCCCACTGTATGGGAGAACCTATTTACTAATGTTACCACTTATAAAGGTTTAATCTCCAACATCTACAGACAGCTTATACAACTAATAAAAGGAAGATGAATGATCCAATTAAAAAATGGGCAATGGACCTAAATAGAATATTTTCAAAACAAGACAGAAGGAAGGCCAAAAGGCACATGAAAACATGCTCTAAGTCACTAATCATCCGAGAGATGCAAATCAAAACAACAATGCAGTACCATCTCACACCTGTCAGAATGGCCAACATCAGCAAATCAACAAATGACAAGTGTTGGCGAGGTTGCAGAGAAAAAGGAACCCTCGTGCACTGCTGGTGGGAATGCAGACTGGTGCAACCACTGTGGAGAACAGTATAGAGTTTCCTCAAAAAACTGAAAATAGAATTTCCATTTAACCCAGTAATCCCACTCCTAGGATTATATCCCAAGAAACTAGAAACACCAATCAGAAAGGATATATGCACCCCTATGTTCATAGCAGCACAATCTACAATTGCTAGAATCTGGAAACAGCCTAGGTGCCTGTCAGCAGATGATTGGATCCAAAAACCATGGTACATCTACACAATGGAATACTATGCTGCCATAAAAAAGAAGGAATTCTCATTATTTGCAGCAACCTGGATGGAATTGGAGAATATCATGCTGAGTGAAATAAGCCAATCAATGAAAGAGAAACACCACATGACCTCACTCATTTATGGCTAATAAAGAACATTATAAACTGATGAACCAAAAGATAGATATAGAGACAGTAAAGCAACAAGCAGACTGTCAAATTACAGCAGGTAGGGTAGGGAGATCTGGGGGAGATAATAGATCAACCGAAGGACTTGTATACATGCATATAAGTATAACCAATGGACATAAAATTCTGGGGAGGAAGGGTATGTAGGGGAGGGGGTGGGGAGCAATGTTAAAATATGTACACAGATAATAATTTAATAAAAAATAAAATTAAATTTTAAAAAAAGTAAAAAAAAAAAAAAAAAAGTGGCATTATAGCCCTCGCTAGTTTGGCTTAGTGAATAGAACATCAACCTGTGGACCCAAGGGTCTTGGGCTTGATTTCAGTCAAGGGTACTTACTAGGGTTGCAGGCTCCTCCAATCGATGTGTTTCTTTAACATTGATATTTCTCTCTGTTTTTCCCTCTCTTCCACTTCCTCTAAAAATCAATGGAATAATATCCTCAGGTGAGGATTTTTTTTTTTTTAAGTAGCATTGCACAGATAGAGTTTTTCTGTCTTCTATGCTCCCAGGTACTCCATACTGAATTTTAGGACAGGATGGGAGTTGGTGCCTTTTCTTCCAGTTCAGATGCTGCTCCATGCTTGATGTTTCATGGAGTTGTTGGGCCGATTTTTGGAATTGACATTGATCAAAACCTGCCCTGCACTCTCTTACCTTGTCCCCTTTGTATCAAAAGTTAGCTCCTATCTTGGATTAGCAATGAAGCAGTCTCTCTAGAAACTTGGTCTAGCCTCGTGATCTGAAAACTGCAGCTCGCAAGCCACACGCAGCTCTTTGGCCCCTTGAGTGTGGCTCTTCCACAAAATAACACAGCCTGGGTGAGTCTATTTTGAAGAAGTGGCATTAGAAGAAGTTTAAGTTTAAAAAAATTTGGCTCTCAAAAGAAATTTCAATCATTGTACTATTGATATTTGGCTCTGTTGACTAATGAGTTTGCCGACTGCTGATCTAGTCTATTTTGTCATTTTCAACCAAGCTTACCAGATCCAACCATCATATTCATGTCAAAGAAAGGACACTAGCAAGGGACAGGTAACACTCCCATTTGACACCTGAGGGAGGTGAGGCTCCAAAGCGCCAGAGATCACCCAGAGACACATTCATATAAAACTGAAATTGAAACCAGGTCACCAACTTTCCTGTACTCTGAACGCTGGAGAATGTGACCTCTTAACACACACAGATTAGTCAAGCCATCTGTACAGTGCCTCAGCTTGCCAGGACATCAAAGCATCGACACATTTACTTGATCCTGCTGAAGATTATAAAAGAACAATTTCCAGATAATAGCTTCTCCTGGCAGAAGAATTGGGGCTGTGCAAGCCTCACCTTCATCTTTGGGCTCTATTTCTAGTCTGTGAAAGGACTGAAACCTCAATACCATCACTGTAATGGAAAGTTGGCACCCAGCTCCTGACACAAAGCCCAAGGAAGTTTTAATTTTACAAAAAGGAAAACAATATTAAAGTCAATCTCAGATGCTTTGGAGTCCTTACAAAAGTCCCCTTCTCCTTTCCTCTAATAACTTTTGAAGCTGCCACAAAGGTCTGCGTTTCTAAACTTTCCAGGATTGGCGTTTTGTTTGTCTTTGTTTTTGTTTTTGTTTTGTTTTTGTTTTGGTTTAGCAAAGAGTAAAGAGTGTGGTATATTAGTTGGTATATCCAAGAATATGAGGCCTGCAAGCAAATTATTTAAGAAAGTTTCCCTTGCCCCAATGGTTAGGTGGAAAATATTTAAACTCTTCAATTTCCCAAAATACTGGTGCTCACAGAATCATGTTTGTACTTAAGCTGAAGAAACATTCATTGCTCCACTAACAAAGGCTTTGGGTCAGTAATCCTTGATAAACTGAACAAAGAAGAACCTTAGCTCATTTCTAGGTCTGATGGTCTATTCCTTAACTTGCCTTTACAGAGGTTACTTCCTACTATCCCAAGGCAAAGTACCCCCAGCTCTGACCCAAAGTACTTAGAAGTAACATCAAAGATAAATCTCACAAAAATGCTTACAAGACATGAAACTAGTAAGCAAAAGACAAAGCGTTCCTACCCAGATACTAATTTGGATTAGCAATAAAACAAATGACGCTCCTACGTAATAAACTTTTTCTTGAAGAGTCAAAAAATAGTAACAATCCTAATTTAACAACAACCTTTATATAATCTTACTATATAAAGGGGGAAGGAAATCAACATTATGAGAGAATATTGCATAACTGATATAATTACTGCATCTCTCAAATAATAGCCCTTGTATATGGTGCCCCTCTATCCATCTAAGATTGTAAGCAATGATGGCAACAGCAGATCATGGAGAACATCGCGTTTGCATGGACAACCTGACAATCTAACTTGCTCTAACAGGAAGAAACCACCCGAAGACCCAGCAAGATGTGTACCAATTAATTTTACTCTTCCCCCTCTCTCCCACCCCTCCGGTTTTAATCATCTGTTTTGTAGCAATTACTGTAAATTACGGGTAACAACAACCCTGGAACTTCAATACCGATACACACCAATACCCCACTGCCACCTTCCTGGCAGCTTGCCATGAGCGCAATTTTAATGGTAGGCAGTAGGAGGCAGCAAACGGCTCAAAACCACAGGCAAAAATAACAGTGGTAGGAAGTTGGACCAGAAACTTAAAAGCTACACAAGCATGAAAAATAGAGTCCTTACACACAAACCTGCAGGAATTTAGATCTGCTATAAGGAACGGTGAAAAGGGAAAAGGTTTGTGTAACTATCTGGACCCATTCCCCATTTCAGCATCTCTAAAAAGACTGACAGTTACTGTTAGGGTCAAACAACATGAGTCTGGGCTTCAGTTAATCTTGTTTTGTTGCTTGGCTCCAGAAACAAAGGTCTCCCGGGTGCCTGTGTGGCAGTCTCAGGTCGCACTTGCTGGGCAGTGCCTGCACTAAGGCAGCCGCCTTTCAAACCTTCCTGGAAACATCAGATCCTGTCCTGCTCCACGTAGTGTGTCTGACTAAGGCATTTGCATATTTAAAACTTGCACCACAGCTACTCAGAAACACCAAGGACGCATCTGCACTTTTAAAAAAATACTTGTGGCGGGTGTTTCACAGTATGATGTCTTCAGATAACACGTCTGTCTGATTTTTTAGGAAGCAGAAAATGGACTTTCAGTTTACTCAAGGGGGAAAATAATCTGGAAACAAAGCTTTGTTATTTCGTTACAATGCTTAATTAAATTGTTTTTAAAAATGTTTAAACCACCTTAAAAATTGTTTGGTTGCTTTATAATCTCAAAACAACTTTTGCCATTCTGTGGATATTTATTTTGAGTAAATAAGCTCTTGTGATTTCTAAGAGCATTTTATTTCAAGCACAAATACAAAGGTCCTCAGAAAACATGATTGCTCGGAATCCAAATTATAAATGTGCAAAGAAGACTGTGTGAAACAAGAAAACTTAACATTTCCAAAGACGGTCCCTGCAATGTTTGCATTGTTTCTTAAACCATTGTGCTAAGCATACATACATTATATGCTACATAATACTTAGCCATCACAGAATACGCAGCGGTAGTGAGAAACACACTCATTACCATGATAGTAACGTTCTGATAAGCAATTGAATCAAACCAAAAGTGATTCACATCAAAACAATGCAGATGCTGCTCAAAACCCGTTTTCCTTCTAGCCATGCATGATTCCAAACTCTTGCAGGGATTAAAGAAAATATCACACATTACTTACTGTTGTTACGATGTCTATGCCATCCTTCTGAATTCAAAGAGGTGAAGGAGAGTCGCTGCCACGAGGAAATCTAGCAGAGGCAAAAAAAAAAGGGGGGGGGGGGAGAAACAGCATTTATTAATTGTCTGATAATTAGCAGCTTCGTGTTTTCTTGAGATACTTCCCAAAAGATCCCAAAGCAAAGGAGGGAAGACAAAGTTGGAGAAAAAACATCACACACATCATGAGCCGACTTCTCCACAAACCCACGCAGCTCCAAACTTTAAAGGCTCAAAGTGTTGAGCATCCTGATAGAGCAAACATCCGACTTCGGTATCACTGCTTCCGTACCCAATTTCAGTAAGACGAATGGATCTCCAAAATCACAGCTACTTTCACGTATTCTCCAGATTTCCCCCCTTGTTTCTCTCCCTTTCGCCCTTTCCCATTCACATTTTTCTCCCTACAAAATGCCCACAGGTCTGTTCTTCCTTGTACCCCGAGTCAGGCCTGGCTTTGAAATGCATTTCAATCTCTCAACACAGACTGCTTTCATTGCATTTAGAGTCCCACTAAGGCCCAGCTTTAAAAGCTACTGATTCTTTTTTTTTTCTCTAGCCTTCCTCACAAAGGAAGGGTATTTTGTAAATTACCAGCTCGTTCAGATCAACAAAAGGTACTTTCATAGAAAGCCCCATTTGATTTTGCTCAAATTTGATTACAAGGATGGAGAAAAGGAAAGGAAGTCAAAAAGAAAAACCCCAGATGGCTTTTTCATTCATCTCAGTGAATGAGCTTTATCTGTGCCTTTTGAAACTGTAGCAGTGGAAAAGCATTTCTGTTGGCTTAAAAAACTTGACAAAAATTATTGGTTTGCCATTTCTCATGTAACAGCCATTGGGAACTGGATGAAAAGACTTTTTCATGGGATCGCCTGCTTGGATCAAAATAATGGAGATTAGGTATTTCATTATAAATTACAGTGGGAGATAGAGCAGGCTGTCATATTAATAGTAACCTGCTCATGGCCTTCAATGGTAGCTATTCTCCTAGACAAAGGGCCTGGGGGGTTGTCTATTGAACTTGTACTTTAGGCCTGATCAATTTTCTATCATCAAGGCAAAAGGTGAGACGACTAACAAAGGAATTCACACATGAGTGACCTCATAAGCCTACAGATAACACAGCTTAAAGAAGCAAAACACATCCTGAAATTATGGATGATAAACTATATAAAGGAGAAGAAGACAGTGTGAGAGCGAGAGAGGAAAAGAGCAAGGGTCTATAATTCTCCTGTTGGCCAAATGGACACATTAAAAGCCACTTGTTTTCAGCTGCAGATAATTGCAACGTTTGGTTTGCAGTGGTCTGCTTCAAATCCTTCAGCCCGACTTTTTTCTTTCCTCTGCAACAACCCCAGTCATTTCATTCTTTATTAACTACGGCATTGTGTGTGAGACAAAGCTTGTACAAAGAGTCATATTTAAAAATAAAAACCAAAAAGAATCACAAGCAACACAGCCTTCAAAATGTTACACAGTAGAATTTGCATTTATTTGCTCCAGATTGCCAGCCTTTCCCCTGCCTCTCATGCACTTAACTTCTTAGAATTTAAAGCATTTCAAAGATTAGGCAGTACCTGCAACTAAAAGACACCGAATCTTAATGAAGCATAATGAAACATGTGATTCAATGAAGATTCTTTCAGAAAAGAGTGATGATAAGATACTAATCCAAAGAAGAGTGAAGGATAAGTGATTAATTTTCATCCAATCACAAGAGATAATTTAGATTCCCAATTATAGTTGTCCACATCACTAGAAATTGCTAAAATTTTCTCCCCTGGTATATTTCCATAGAATTTTCTTCAATTTTTCTAAAAAATAATAATACTAATAATTGGGTTTTCAGTCTGCTAGTGTTGTTAGTGCTCCCTGAATTTCTGGATGGTAGTAGGAGATTTATCTTCCAGAGATAAAACCCAGGTTATGAAAGGTTACTATACAACTGGGAAATGCAGATACAGTGTAACACTATATGAACATTACATAAAGCTAATCAAACACATGTGAGCAGGATATATTTTCACTGTGCTTTTTCAATTTTAAAAAAATATATATGTTTTATTGATTTTTTTACAGAGAGGAAGGGAGATAGAGTTAGAAACATTGATGAAAAAGAAACATCGATCAGCTGCCTCCTGCACATTCCCCACTGGGGATGTGCCTGCAACCAAGGCACATGCCCCTGACCGGATTTGAACCTGAGACTTTTCAGTCCGCAGGCCGACGCTCTATCCACTGAGCCAAACCGGTTTCGGCACTGTGCTTTTTTTAAAAAAGCCAAAGCGTTATATAAGATTATCAGTCAATAAGGCCTTCCAATTGCCTAAAAGCCTGAGAAAACACCAAGAATATCACCCATGACAGTTGTCAAAATAAGACTACATTTTGAAAGGCACCCTCGACAGGTTAATGACCCCCCATATCTTGGCACAAATAGTCTTGGCACAAACACTTAGAGTAGTGATGGCATAAGGAAAGTCATTTACATATAGATCAATAAAACAAGGATATAGTATTATTTGAGGCATATATACAAACAACTCCACATTTGTATAAAAGTGTACTCCCTTTGTCTTAGGGAAGGCCTGGATCTTTAGACTATTTTAACCATTCAGGGAGATCCCAAATTCAAAGTTATTAAAAGAGGAATGAGCCCAGCCAGTATGGCTCAGTGATTGGGTATTGACCCAGGAACCTGGAGGTCACTGGTTCAATTTCTGGTCAGGGCACATGACCGAGTTTTGGGCTCAATCCCCAGGAAGGAGCATGCAGGAGGCAATTGATCTATGATATTTCTCTGAATTGATCTATGATGTTTCCATCTCTCTATCCTTCTCCCTTCCTCCCTCTCTAAAAAGCAATGAAAACTTTTTTTTTAAGAGGAATTAAGCAACACTGGAAAGCCAGTGTGTAGGCAAGCTCTTCCCACTATTGTAAATGTGGATTGATATGACCTTTCCAGAGGGCAACTAAGCAACATGTATCAAGAATCTAAAAGCTTTCCCAACCTCTAGAACTCTTCCCAGTAGAAACTATCTATACTAATAAAAAAGCAATATGCTAATTAGACCAGGAGACCTTCCAGAGACCTTCTGGATGTCCTTCCAGACAAAGTCAGGGGCTTGCCTGGCCTGCGAACCATCCCCAAACGGCCCTCAGCCTCTCACCCATGCCGGCCATGCCTCACAGTGGGGATCCTCACTCCAATGGGGGCATGGCCAGCCTGCAATGGCCCTCAGCCCCTCACCCAGGCTGGCCATGCCCCCCAGGAGGGACCCTCACCCTGATCCGGGACCTCCTTTAGGGCAAACCAGCCTATCCCACTAGTGTAGTAGGCCTCTATCTATACTAATAAAAGGGTAATATTCTAATTAGACCGGAGACCTTCCAGACAAAGCCATGGTGGTGGGGCCAAAGCAGAGGTGGTTAGGGGCGATCAGGCCAGGAGGGGAGGGCAGTTGGAGATGAGCAGGTCAGCAGGGGAGAGGGAACAGTTGAAGACAAGCAGGCTGGCGGGGGTGGGGGGGAGCAGTTGGGGGCAAGCAGGCTGGCAGACAGGTGAGTGGTTAGGTGCCAGCAGTCCAGGATTGTGAGAGGGATGTCCAAGTGCCAGTAGAACATCTCCCAAGGGGTCCCAGATTGGAGAGGGTGCAGGCCGGGCTGAGGGACACCCCCCCCCCCATCCATGAATTTTGTGCACTGGGCCACTAGACCTATATAATAAAAGCCTAATTGCTAAGTGTTCAGTCATCCATTCAACCAATCAAAGCACAATATGCTAATGATGTGCTAAGGCCACTCAATGGCTTGCTATGAAATGCACTGACCACTAGGGGGCAGACAGTTAACCGGTTGACTAGTTGCTATGAAGTGCACTGACCACCAAGGGGCAAACACTCCACTCCGACTGGTAGGTTAGCTTGCTCCTGGGGTCCAGCAGATCGGGATAAGTGAGTTGGGCCACACACACCCAGGAGCCCTCCTTCGGTTCCTCCCTGGCTGGCCAACCTCCTGCATCCCTCCCCAGTTCCAATCATGCACCGATGGGGTCCCTTAGCCTGGCCTATGACCTCTTATAATCCAGGATCCCTCAAGGAGTGACAGAGAGCCAATTTCAGCCTGATCCCAAGCTAAGGGACCCCACTGGTGCACAAATTCATGCACTGGGCTCTAGTAATGTAAAATGATAGTTCTGCAACCAGACTAGCTGAGGACCAATTACAACTTGCCCAACTTCCAATTACAACCTTATGACTGGTTATTAACCTCCCCATGCTTCAGTTTTCTTGCCTGTAAAATGGGGATGTCAAAAGTGTGTTAATGAGAACTAAATGAGTCTGTATATGTAAAGCATTAACAGTGTGATTAGCATAATGAAAAACTGTTAGATATTATTACTATAAATGCTCCAGATCTGGAAAATTAGTAATTGACTTGTGATAAATAAATACATTAGAATGCAATATGCCCATTAGAGATCCTGTTTCTTAATGACGTGAAAAAATATTCATACAAAGCGAAAAAAATCAGTATACAAAACTCTATATAATATGTGATCTCAAAGATATGTATATGTGTACCTTAAAAAGTAGCAATAGTAGTTATTCTTAGATAATACAATTTCAAATGCTATTTATTGTCTTTTTATATGTTTTTAATTTTAAAATTTTTAATGAAGATTTCAAAGATTTTTTAACTCTATTTTTATTAAGATTTAGTTTATGAAGAACTAGGTGGCACACCAAGCAGAATGCAGTATTTATCAGAGATAGGCCAGGCTAAGGGGGAAATCACTCTCTGCCAAAGCTCAACTCAATGCTAGTACTAAGATCTAAAATAAGAGGAGCTTCCACAACTGGTTGGTCCTTCTGTCTCAGCCTCTACTTAGTCATCAAGACCTTTAAATTACATCTAATCAATTCCTCTACAGTTTCTCCCCTTCTTTCAATGCTCTAAATTATTGCAGCTCTAAATTAAACAACTAAAACTAACTCTAAACTGAGCTCCCTCTCTAATCCTCAAAATGCATCCCCTACCTTGATATTGCAATGTGGTTTTTTTTTTCTTTTTTCATTTTAAAAATTGTTATAATTTACAGTTTACATTCAATATAATTTTGTATTAGTTTGGGGTGTATAATAAGTCAGTCAGAGAAAAACAAATACCACATGATTTCATTTATGTGGAATCTAAAGAAACTATATATAAATGAACAAATAAAACAGAAACAGACCTATACAGAGGACAGATGATGGTTGCCAGAGGGGAGGGGGGTTGGGGCAACAGGTCAACCGGTCAACTGTCTGCCCCCTGGTGGTCAGATAAAAAAGGTTTAGGGATTGAGAACTAGAGATTGGTAGCTACAAAACAGTCATGGGCACGTAAAATACACCATAGAAATATAATTAATAATCCTATATAATAAAAGGATAATATGCAAATTAATCCTAACAGTGGAATGACCCATTGCTATGATGAGCACTGACCACCAAGGGGCAGACGCTCAATGCAGGAGCTGCCCCTTGGTGGTCAGTGTGCTCCCACAGGGGGAGCTCCACTCAGCCACAAGCTGGGCTGACAGCCACGAGTGCTGCAGTGGTGGGAGCCTCTCCCAACTTGCCAGCAGCGCTAAGGCTGTCCTCCTGCGGCTTATGCTCTCTCCTGTGGGGA